TTTTTTTCCCCCTGTCTAGCTCGGTAAAGCACTCGCCACGGCTGTGGCTATTTCCGAGCTTGAGCTCACAGTGGCAGGGGCTCTTAGTGAAATACCTCGACTCAAATTGATAGTATACAGAGCTCAATTGTGTTTCATTCATCTTTACGCTTCCACATACATGTATGCAATATACTGAAGGAATAGCCTGTCTGTTCCCAGATAATAGCTGTTACTAAGGTACATGGTCTAGATAGATAAACTAGAATCTGTGAACTGCGGCCACATTCACAAAACTACGAAGTGGTAAAAACAGGCCACACCAGAGCAATTGGAAAAACAAATGCTCTTCTATAGGTACCATGGGCTATGGAAAATATTTTCAAGGTGAATCTCTTTTTTCTTGTTTGAATCGTGTCTTTAATAAGATGAAGCGCGCCGAGCGCGCCTAATGTGTAGCGGAAGGCTTCCGACACACAAATGCCGTTCAGCTACTCGGAAGAGAAAAATAAAAAGAAATAAAATTGAAAAAAGAAAAAAGGACAGAGAGAGGAAATACTGTCAGGTGTTCCTATATTTGAGATATCTGTTTTTCTTGTACCTTGACTAGACATGATTTCTCACTTACATAGCGTGACGTTAGGGTAGAGGTACTGGTCATTGGTGGAATAACGTATTCAGTACTATCAATGCTATTAATATATTTTGACTCTTTGGTGCAAGATCTATGTCACCAATGTATGGAGAATGACAAGCATATTTCAATGATGAGCGATTTGAGCGGCCATCAAATTGCTCTTCTCTCTCAAGTTGCTGGCGATGTCGATGCTGTAAAACCAGAGAAGGATGGCCAGTGGGGTAAACGTAGCATCCAATCTAAGATCCCTGTAAACTCTATGCAAGGAGTTTTCTTTTTCTCTTGGACTGATCGTGGGGGTGCGATGCCTCGTTCTGATCATGCAACACGAGTCAGTGCTTCCTATCCCTATGAATATGCTGCACACATGCGGCAAGCACATACATTATTTTCCTCTTTCTTACGGCAGGATGATCGGTACTGTGCACAGACACAATTCTATTTCTTTGACCTGTAGGTCTTCTAGTGGACAAGGCTAAAAAATTTAATTAAGAAAGGAATGGCGTAAAGCCACGAGGGGCAAAGGGGCCCGCACGTAAAATCGATTGTGCCTGTCAGATTTTAGCGTCCCATATATCACACTATATTATTGATTTTACCTACTTTTTTCTTGCTTCATTTCCCTGGAGCTCGTTATTTCCGATAGCGCCCGTGAGTAATTTCCCTTCTTAGCAATGTGAGCCGACATCTTGACTAGCTCGATCACATCTGGGAGTCTTCCCACATGGCCCTGTGCAATCAAGAACCCCTCCGACTGCGCTTGATCCATCTGCCTGGCCGATCTGGACATGGTGACGGCGGTCGCGTGGGATGGGCCTCACGAGAAGCGAAGTCGGATGGAGACAAGCACCAGGAAGTGGATTTTATTAGTCAATGTGTGCGTCCAGCTGGAGCAACTAAGCCTCGCAGGCCGGCGATCACTATCTTATTGGGCGCAGCCCCACCAATAAAAGCGACATTTATCTGATCCGAAACCTAACCCTGGTTATCTGATCAAACCTGAATCAACCCGAACGCTGCCGTCATTGGGTGACTGCCTTTCTGTCTAGAGAACTCTGGTCTCCATCGGGAAGCGCGTCTTGCGGCAATAATTTGAGCAGACCACCCATTGCCGTTTGTACACCGATGGGCAGATCGTATTCTCTAGACTGGTTACGTAGAAAAGAGTTGCGACGCCCGGTCGTTTGTTCTGGTCGCCAGCCCTCTGTCCCGTCGCACATACCAGGAAACACAGTCAATCGCTCGAGTCCACATCGAGGTTTACAGCACTTATTTTGTACGCCATGCCGGGCCCGAATATTGTGCGAGGCCGGAACGACACACAGTTGGCCCAGAGTGTGGTCGGTGCGGACTTTCGAGACCTCAAGTACGAGGTCAGTGTGTCATCCGTGAATAACAGCCACAATCCCGATGCGATCAGTCTGGAAGCCCCACAGAAACAGCCCTTTCGAAGACCGTCCGAGGAGGTCACCCAAGGCGCACAACTGGGGATTCGAAAGGCCGAAGCAGCAGCACTAGCCTGGAGTAAGAAGACTGCCTATTTGACCTACGCTTTGTGAGTTGCATAACGGCTGTTGTTTTGCGTTCTGTCTCGCTTCTTGTCACTAATATTTGGCCGAGTCAAAGAGTTTGGCTCGGCTTCTTCATGCTAGCCCTACAGTCCGCCGTCAGTACCAATGTTATCCACAACGCATTCGCCCACTTCGAGGAAGCGCCCGCCGTGAGTACGTCCAGCATTGTGGCAAGCGTGGTCAGTGGGGTGGTTCGACTTCCTGCTGCAAAGCTTCTGAATATCTGGGGGCGCCCGGAAGGCCTGTCGCTGTTCCTCGCCGTTTACCTCCTGGGGTTGATCATTCTGGCCGCTTGCAACAACCCAAGCTCCTTTGCCGTCGGCTATGTTTTATATTGGGTTGGATACGATGCCATTTTCTTGATCCTCGATGTTTTCATGGCGGATACGTCTGGCCTACGCAATCGAGCCTTTGCTTTCGGTTTCGCCAGTACACCTTTTATCTGCACGGCCTTCACTGGCCCCATCGCAGCCCAGTCCTTTGTGAATCACTCAACATGGCGCTGGGCTTATGGATGCTTTGCCATCGCGCAGGTGTTTGTTTTTCTTCCCCTGATTGCTGTGTTCAAGTTCTACCAGCGCAAAGCCGAGAAGATGTTCATCTTTGTGCGGGAGCCCAGCGGTCGCACATGGAAGCAGTCCGTCATCTTCTGGCTCAATGAATTCGATTGTATGCGTCCGCTGCCATGATTGACGGACTTCGCTAACAATGATTTAAACTAGTGGTCGGCACCCTCCTCCTTACCGCTGCCTTCCTGTTGGTCCTCCTTCCCTTCAGCCTGCAATCCTACGGCCGAGCCGAGTATAACAGTCCCACGTTCATCGTCATGCTCGTGGTCGGCATCCTCCTCTTTGTCGTGTTTGGCGCCTGGGAACGATACGGTACTGCAACGCCTTTCATCCAGTATGAACTGTTCAAGGACCGGAGCGTCCTCGGAGCCTGCATAGTGGCAGCCAGCCTATTCTTCAGCTACTATGCGTGGGAGCTCTACTTCTACAACTTCTGTATGGTAGTATACGGGCTCAGTGTGAGTATGACGGGATATGTCGGGCAAATCTACAATGTCGGGTCGTGTTTCTGGTCAGCAGTGTTCGGGGTGGTGGTGTATGTCACGAAGCAGTTCAAATACAGCTGCCTGTGCTTTGGTCTGCCACTCGTCATGCTGGGCGCCGGCCTGATGATCCATTTCCGGTCGGCAGGAGGAAACATCGGATACATTGTGATGTGTCAGATCTTCATCGCGTTCGGCGGCGGAACCCTGGTCATCGGCCAAGACATGGCCGTCATGGCCGCCTCCGACCGCGAAGGCGTCCCCATGATGCTGTCGATGATCGGCCTGTTCTCCAGCCTGGGCGGTGCGATCGGCAATGCGGCCTCAGCTGCTATCTTCTCCAACACCTTTCCGTCTGCCCTCCGGGATGCGCTCCCGGCCGAGAGCAAGTCCCAATACATGGATATTTACCTCGGGGGGTACCTCAAACAGCTCGACTACCCCGTTGGCTCTGAGATTCGCGACGCCATCAACCAGGCCTATGGTGCCTACATGAAATATGGGTGTATCGCCGCGGTGGCGGTCATGGCCGTCGGGCTTCCGGCCATTGCCATGTGGAGGAACTACAGGGTTGACAAGAAGCAGAACAAGGGTGCTATGATGTGATGCGTCTCTTTATCTTTTTCTTTTCTGTTTGTAGTATCGCTTACGTTATACCCCTATACCCCTGTGCTTTTTATCGTTACATTCGGTTGGCTCTATTTTCACGTGTATGCCATGTGGGCTGATGGGAGGCTATTTGGTTATTATGAGTTCGTAAACCCTGTATTTAGATATCTGGGCCTATTTAACAACATTTATCGCTTTTAACTGAACTTTCCCATGCATGGTTGCCTCTGTAGATCCAAGTGAGTTCACCGGGGTTCGTCCGAAGAGAAGTACCAAACCAGTGGAACCCGCCTCAGCGACAGTGGGACATGCCCCTCCATGGCAGTGAAGTGAACTACCGAGTTGACAGGCCGGACAGTGACTGCTCCGGGCCCCAGTGTGTCCAAACTAGGGTATTTAAACGCGTCACTGGCGGCTTGGCGGGGGATACTGAATGGTGGAATCAGGCAGCAAAACCCACCGTGATGCATGGAGCCATCGGGGCACACGCCAGGCGCCAGGCGACAGGCCGACAGATTCTGTCCGTGCAAAGAAAATAGCTCATGTGGAGTGTCCGCCCAAAACGTAGGGAGTATCCGAGTCCAGCATTTGATCGTCTCGGCGATAAGATTGATAAACTTAGGGCGAAGTCGGACCCGTTCAACGTGCCTTCCCGCCGATGACATGCCACTTGCTGGGCTATTTTTGCCCGCTTAGTTGTGTTTCGTTCGGGGCTCTGGCGGGTTTTTCTTTTTGTTGGTTTGATCCTGGTAATTGCAGCTCTGCTAATGACGACCGCGGCGTTTGTTCTAATAGACTATTCTTTCCGAGAGGTCGCGTGCGATTATCATGCATGAGACTGCCCTCCCTGTGCGCGCCAGAGCGCGGTCTGTGTCCACTGATGTCCCTTGGTTTCTGAAATTGGATCATGATAATGAGGTGGTTTACGAAGTAACAGATCGCCCGCTGTTGAAGAGCGGTACATTGACAGGACTCGTGGAGCAATTGACTCGCCATGACCGACTGGACCTTGTCTTCAACGAGACCTTCCTGATCACCTATCCGACCTTTGTATCCGCGCCGGACCTCTTCGATGCTCTCCTCCGACGATTTCATGTCGAGCCTCCGGGTCAATTGACGGAACCCGAGCTGCAGCTGTGGTCCCAGCACAAACAAAAGGCAATCCGGCTCCGGGTAGTCAATATCTTGAAGACATGGCTGGAACGGTTCTGGATGGAGCCACGCGAGGAATCAACGACAGATTTCCTCGGGAAGATGCACGCCCGGATCAAGAACTCGACGGACGTGATGGAGACACCCACTGCCTCTCAATTATTGAGTGCCATCGATCAGCGGATCCAGGGCCAGGAGATCACGAAACGCCTTGCTACGCCGCCGAACTCCAACATCCCCAAACCGATCACACCCAAGAATATGAAAAAGCTGAAGATACTGGACCTCGATGCCACCGAGCTCGCCCGCCAGCTAACAATCATTGAATTCAACCACCACGCCCGGATCAAGCCGAACGAATGCCTCAGCCAGAAATGGAAGAAGAGGAGGTCCAATAGCACCGAGCCGTCGACGGGGGTCAATGCCATGATTCTGCACTCAAATCGACTGGCTAATTACGTGGGTGAGCTTGTGTTGGCACAAGATGAGCTGAAAAAGAGGGTGTCCATGATCAAGTTGTTTGTGCAGGCTGCCGATGTAGGTTCTTCCGTGGTTATGTGTGTTGTGTATAATATCTGACTGGTTAGGTTTGTCGATCGATTAATAATTATGCTACGTTGATGTCGATTGTGTCCGGTCTGGGGCAGTCCCCCGTCTTTCGACTCCGGCAAACTTGGGGTCTTGTCAATCCGCGCATTCGAAGCCTACTTGAGGAATTGCGGGATTTGATGTCGAGTGAGAAGAATTGGGCCAAGTATCGCGAAGCTTTGCGGCAGGCTAGTCCGCCCTGTGTTCCTTTCCTGGGTATGTACTTGCCCAATTCTCCTCTATCTCTCTTCCCATCATTTTGTTCTCTTGTTCTCTCGTACTCTCCACTAATAAGAGAATAGGAATCTATCTCACAGACCTAACATTCATCGACGACGGCATCCCTGACCTCACCCAATCCGGCACGATCAACTTCGCCAAGCGCATCAAAGTGGCCGAAGTCCTGCAAAACATCCAACAATACCAAAATATGCCCTACAATCTGCAGCCCGTCCCAGAGATCCAGGACTTTCTCATCAGGAACCTGAGGGACACAAAGGACGTCAGCGACATGTATGACCGGAGTCTGCAGTTAGAGCCGCGCATGGCCAACGAGGAGATCGTCGTGCGACGAGGCGCCCACACGGCGACAGGTAGCAATATGAGCTCGGTGATTATAGCAAGTATGGCTATGCGGTGAGAATGATTTGTCTATTTGCGTGCTTTTTCGCTGGTGATGGTCAGCTTTTCTGGTTTGGTCTATTGTGATACCTTTCTGGTTGGTTTTATTTTTTTCTTTTACTGTTTCTTGACGATGATGAAGTTACGATTCTCGTGATATCACGGCTTTATGGTAATGTATATACAAAAGCACATTCACTCTTTTGGTCCACAACATGGGATAAAAGCATAGATGGATACATATCTCACTCACATAAACCTCAACTCCAACTCCAAACATCACTCATTACCCACAAGAACACCCCTCTCCCTCTTAAACCGCTCAACAACAGGCACATAACTCCCGACCTCCACCTCCTCCAAGATCCCCGGGCCAGCCGGACACCAGCCCAACCTCTCCCTAGCCTTCCTGCCACTCGCCCGATTCCTGACCAGCACAAACTCCACCAGAAACCTCCCCCACCTCGCCTCCATATCCTCCCTCGTCCGCGACACAACATCAACCCCCACAACCCTGCCAATCGCCCCGGCCAACGCGGAATAGGTTACATCCGTACAAGACACCCCATTAAATACATCCCCAGGCCCAGCAAACCGTGCAACGAGAAAATAAAGCCGTGCCGCGTCCTCCACATGCACACAGGAGAAACACCACCCCCCGTCGTCGATCACAACGGCCTCCCCGTCCCGCACCGCAAGACGGATCAGGTCTGCTGCGAACCCATGGTCTGTTTGGCGGCCGTAGACGTACTGCGGGAGACGGAGCACACTTATCCGGACTCCCTTGGGGGCCCACGCCAGGGCGCGTTCCTCGGCCAGGTGGCGGGGTAGGGGTGTGTACGGTGGTGGGGGGGCTGTTTCGTCTGTTTCTCTGCCCGAGGGATCGGGGAGGACGCAGAGCGTGCCGCCGGTTGTGACTAGGGGTTTGTTTGTGTTTTGGAGGGCGCTGGCGAGTGCGTCTACCGCGGTGATGTCGAGCGCTAGTAGGTCGGTGTAGGGCTTGCTCCAGTCGTGGCTGAAGGCGAGGTGGAACACCACGTCTGCGCGTCTCGCTTCTTCGGCTAGGATGGTCGTGTCGCTTAGCGTGCCTCGTACTGGGGTTGCGCCCAGACTGCGCAGGAGGGTGTCGCCTGCCTCGCTGCGGGAGAGAGCGCGCACGCTGTGTCCTGCTGCGAGGGCGAATTCGGTGACTACTCGGCCTATGTAGCCTGTTGCGCCTGTTATGAAGATGTTCTGGGGCGGAGGGTGAGTGGTATTAGGGGGCATTTTGGGGGTTGGTTGGTTAGGTGGTGTTCCACTGGTGCGTTTGCGTAGAGTTTGTTTCGTGTTTGAATAGACGCGATTGAGGTTCTTTCATGTGAGTTAGGGTGGTAGATGGCTTTAGATGTGGTCGTTGAATAGGATTTCCATCGGAGTAAGAGTATCTCTTCATTCACCATTATGCTCCCGGATCAGATTCTAAGGGAGATTGAAACTCACTTCTCTTTACAGTTGTATCATGTGGTCTGTAAATTTCCCACTGTGAATTGAGATTGTGGATCCAGCGTTGCATTGGTGATGCTTGGCTGCATGTATATATTGTTGTTAAAGAGGGGATGAAGAGAGTTTGAGTTCGAGGTCGCATGCTGTCACCCGTTATAAGGGAAAAACAGAAACAATTTATTATTCCCTCTTCTATCAGTGAATTCTTTTATGGATAGGGCTATATCTGCTCATAAGACATTATCTAGAGCCAAGATGGAAGCTTGAGCTGGACAATATATGGAGCTAACCATAACAGGCTAGTGTATCTTCCACGACAGACACTTATGCCGTCGGCATAAATGACTAAGCGAATTAATGCACTGTGAAGTAGAGCTGCCCTAACTGGGAATTTCATGTTCGTGTGAGATGGAATGGCATTTGCTCTTTCAGTCATATATGATGTACCCTGTCGAACGGACGTCAAGATATTAAGTCTTGGGATCTATAAGGCATAGAAAGTGCGAGTGACGATCGTATATTGACCCCTCCGGTGGGGCTATACTACCCTTCACTGCCTGTACGGTGAAATCGCCGTGGAGACCGTACTCTCCAACAACTTTGGAGCAGTCATGGTCTTATATTACATGTGGACTGGTAGCTAGAGTTACTAGACTTATCTGTTATGTCACACTTAAAGAACGAGTAACCACTACTAACTGTAACCCATTTGGTTAGACACAGAGCAGATGTGGGTGTAGACACAGAAACACATGATGTATAGTACAAGTACTCTCGAGCTCCTGCGAATATTACGCTACCAACTTGCCTCTGAGATGTATACTAACATTGATCAACTTTAAACCATTAGTTGTACAACTGCATGCGCATAGCGCCTCATCGACCAATAACAATGAGAGAACCCCACACCGGCGCTTAACCACGTCAACACCAAACAAGCAAACACACACCATAATTCGAGCTTCTCTGTAGCCATCTATCTTATATAACCTGCTAATCCCCCATAAATCTGACAGACCATACCGACACAGCTCAACTAAACTCTCCCCATGGCCCCCCTCCGCTCCACATACGCTGGAGTGACACTCGACGCAGAGAAAACCCTCCTTTGCAAATGTGGCCATCCCATGAAGAGGTACACTGTCAGGGACGCGAAGAGTCCATACCGAGGGGAACAATGTATATCTTCCGCCTTTTCCCATCTGACCAAATCAATCTTAAAGACTGATAATGTCTAGATCTGGCTTGTAGAAGACATTCCAATGACGAAGAACACTGCAAGAGCTGGATATGGTTCGACGAGACGGCCCAGGTAGAACAACTCGTTCCTCGTCTTGCTGTTCCGCAGACGCCGAAGAAACAGACCGATATACGGGAGTTTGGGCAGTTGACGCCGCCGAAATCGTCGTGTCTGAAGAGGAGGCGGGTCAACGTGGACCCTGGGAGGCTGGACGAGCTCCCGGGGGATGAGATAGAAAAAAGTGGTACGTTGACCTTATTGATTATGTATCAGGAACGGGGGAAGGTGACAGTAATGTGTCGGTAGACCTTTCGGAAGGGACTCTAGATTCGCCGTCTCGGAGTAGGCAAAGGATGCTCGGAAAAGATGAGTCGACGCCGGTAGCTCGTTCGCTGTTCGTATGCCAGGAGGGAATGGGTACTGTGCGACATCAACCTCTTCAGAGACTAGGGACTCCGCCTCATCGAGTCGGGGATTCAAGTACACCACAAAATCCCAGACTTCTTAGCTCTGGATTGTTTACTCCGGGTTCTGGCCGTGGCCATAGAAAGCGGTGGATTGGTATGGACGCACCGGTAACTCCGACTAAACAAAACCATATTTTTGCGTCTCCAGCTTGTTTAGTGGACGACGATATCAGTGATTCGGATTCGTACGGCTGGGATGAGGAGCTGGTCGCTGCTATGTTAGATAAATCGGACCAGGTACAGCCATCGACATAAGATTGGTGACGGGCAGGTGAGATGCATCTAGGTCAAGGTCACAAATCAGCATTTCCGAGATCGAATTTGGAAATAATATTTCATCCACACCGAAAAGTAAAATGGTGCAAGTAGTATGAACGTGTATTCCTCGATGAGTAATAGACAACGTTTCCCCTCAAAGGAACCTGACCTTGGCTCACTCCACTCCATCATTAGTGGCCCATTCTGAAGTTTAATGCAGGTTGCGGGTACTTGACCATAATTTGTTTCGTTCTCGAATATTCGTGCTGTAGTCTCGTTTTGTACATCGCTTCTGTCGGTCGACCTGCACTATAGGACAGTGCACTAGGCTGCCTATCGCATGTTAGGCGATTGCTAGTGGGTAACGGGTATGTGGAGGAGAAGAGTGGAAAGTGATATCAACTTGGTGACGCAGGTGTGATGCGCTGCCTAAGAGAGACCCAGACTTCGTTGCCACGCAGCCGTGTGTGGCTTTCAATATTATAATTTTACTTTGACCCAGGTAATCTTGCTTGGGATGCTCTTCCTGGTTTGGGTCCTGCATGGCGTGAGCACGTATCTGTTGATTGACATGTGCATCTCGCCATTATAGGACTCAATGAAGGCGCTGTGAGGCGTCCTTATCTCGTAATAGTAGATCCATACTGTTGAGTAGAATCCTTCAGTATTGCCATGACGAGTGTTCTGTAGGCGAGAAGCTTATACCATGTGACTTAAAAGCTACCAACGGTGCTGCGTTTGTCTTTCGGCCGCCTACGATTCTGTCTTGCTAAATCCCTTCACATCTATCACAATGCCTCACAACGGAGACAGCCCCCGGACTGAAAGAACCGTTGATTCAACGGTCCTGCTCGATTTGGACCTCTTCAGGGTCTCAGCAGATAATGCAACCCGCGACGAGAAGATCGCCTTGGCATACCATCGAGCCCGCGCGATAGCAAAGCTATATGGTACGTTTCCCTACCTTTGGTCTTCATTGCCGATTAACCTTGTGCACAGACTTTACAACGGGAGATATACAGTGCCTGACCGAGAAGTTCTGGCACTTCCATCAGGACATGATCCATACATTAGACTCGGCCGCGTTCAGTCTGTTGGCGATACAGTACAATCTCTGTGTGGGGACCCTGGCTCCCTTCCTCGAACATCGACCGGACCTTAAGGCTATTGTTGAGCCATTACTCTCCTTCGACATTTCGTAGGCGCCATCCGACGCGCTGACCTCCGTAACATACTGACAGGAAACAGAGGACAGTTCCTTCTTGCAGAGGTCGGACATGGTCTGGATGCACATGCTATTGAGACGGTGGCTACCTTGCTTCCAGGTGGCACCTTCGACCTTCATACTCCGAATCCGGACGCAGCCAAGTAAGAGATCCTTTACCCTACTATCGATGCCCAGTGACGGACCGTTTAGATTTATGCCCGCAACAACCCCTATAGAAGGCTTTCCCCGAATCGGAATTGTCATCGCCAGAGTATCGGTCGCGGATGAAGATCGTGGTGTTAAACCATTTCTAGTCTGGCTCAACGATGGCCATGAAATGTCTACAGGCATATACGCGAAGTAAGCCCCCACAGCCCATCCAGTATACACTATCTAACCTTGAATATCCGACTCCAGAGTCCTCCCAGGACGAGCAGGATCCAAAACCCTCGACCATTGTATCACATCCTTCGAACACGTCCGGCTCCCGCACACAGCTCTTCTCGGAACTCTCGATGCACCCGCAGACCGACGAAAGAGCTTCCAATCCACTATCCACCGCGTGTACATCGGCACATTGGCTCTATCCACGGTTCTCATATCGGCGTTGAAAAGCTCCGTTTTCGTAGCAGGAAAATACAGCTTCCGTCGACATATCTGGGGGCCTACTAATGAGCCCCGACCGATTGTATTCTTCCGGCCACAACATCGTCCGATTCTTCATACTTTAGCTCAGATCGCTGTCTACGATCCCTACGCAGCGGAAAGTATCCAGAATTACATGGACACGAAAATCCCATACGTCGTCCGGCAAGGTATTGCAACCGCTTTCAAAGCCGTCCTCCATCGCGCGACACAGGAGAGCCTATGCTATCTCGGCGAGCGCTGCGGTGCGCACGGTCTGTTCGCGTATAACAACATCATCGATAACCAGATTGAAGCTCATGGGAACTCGATCGCCGAGGGAGATACCCTGGCTCTTTGCATAAGTAAATATATCTTGAAGAACCGGCCGGGTCAATAGCTAACCTAACGTGTTGTACAGGGCTGGCCTCCGAGTTAATCCTAGGACGATACCGCATGCCCCCACCCCGTTATCCATCCTGCCTTCTGGCCATATTCGAGACCGGTCTATTCCGACATGCTCGGGATATCATAGACTCGCTCGAGGAGGTCCAGAGAACGGGGGAATTCAATAGACGTATACTCCCCCGATGCCAGACACTGGTGGAGGCTGTTGGTCACCGGATGGCATACGAGGCGGGCTTGGATTCCGGTGTGGTGCCGGAATTACTTGACCTCTATGAGGCTGGGGTCATGCTGCAGCATTCTGGGTGGTTTGTGGAGAACCTGGGATTAGATATGGAGACGCAGTTCAATATGGAGATGCAAGCGATGAACGGAGTGCTGCCTCGGCTTGAACACTTGTTGGAGGCCACCGGTGCAGAGCCGTATTGTACAGCGCCCATTGTATCTAACGAGGCCTGGGCGGAGTTTGTTAACGGCCTCGAAGTATATAAGGGTAGTGCTCGGATGGATATCTGTGAGTATGATGAGGACGTCGGTGATACTGTTAGTATATTTGGATTCCTCAAGGAGAGTGGCTAGGTGGGTATTTTGGATTGAATTTGTGTCACTGCGGATGAAAAAGCTCTGTATCATATAATGAAATCTTCAGGCTTAGCCATTGTTTCTCAGACTGGTCTATGAATGCGTGTCTTTGAGTTGATTCCCTTCTTCCTCATATCCCATGAGTGCCATAGGTATTTACAAGCAGGACTTCTGTTGGTACATTTATCTGTACACTTTCATCAGTCTTGCAGCACAACAAATTGGCCTCTTCTTGGATAAAAAATTACCTATGAGCATTAACACAGCTACAAGTCTGACTACACAATTTATTACAAAGATAACATCTAGTCTTCCATATGAAGAATCCAAATTCCAGGAGCCAACGGTAGATTCCTAACAGCATGCGATATGGCGATCATAGGAATCCATTCGTGTCCTCTACATAAGTACTCCAGATAGCAATACAGACCCCCTAAATTCAATCATGACTTTAAAGACGCTTACAGATGATTCTTGCTTCCCTTTAACCGCTAGATGGGTACCTGCCACTATCTAGGTGCGCTCAACCCCATGAGAATACCTTTTCCCACATCCCGATCTTATATTACCGTAACGCAAAGTCCAAGCAACCAATAAGTGACTTCACACCCGCTGATCCTATTTGGCGAAGCATCCAGCCACCAAGTCTATACCACTAGATGTCTTTCTTTATTCAGACCAAAAAAAAAAAAAAAAAAAAAAGAG